ATGAGGTCTCGCTGCCCAGGCAGGTCTCGAACCTGTAGGCTCAGGCAATCCACTCACCTCAGCCTCCCAAAGGCGCGGGATTACAGGCTGAGCCACCGAGCCCAGCTTATTTATTTATTAAATGAAGGAATTTTTGTCCCCCCATGATGGGGTCTTCCTCTGTCGCCCAGACTGGAGTGCATAGTTCACGGCAGCCTTGAACTGCTGGCTCAAGTAATCCTTCCACCTCAGCCTCCTGAGTAGCTAGGACTACAGGTGTGTGCTACCACACCTGGTCTAATTTTAAAAACTTTTTTATAGGGGCAGAGTATCTAATTTTAAAAACTTTTTTATAGGGGCAGTTGAGGCTGAGGCATAAGGATCACTTCAGGTCAGGAGTTCAAGACCAGCCTGGGCAACTTGGTGAGAACTTGTCTTTACAATAAATAAAAAAATCAGCTGGGCGTGGTGGCACAAGTCTGTAGTTCCAGGTCGAGGCTGCGGTGGCCATGAGTGTGCTACTGCACTCCAGCCTGGGTGACAGAGTGAGATGCCAACTCAAAAAAATTAAAATAAATAATATTTCATTGTACACACACTATGCTGGATCTTGATCTAAGCCCTGGAGGTTCATAAAGGTATGAAAATTGAAGGCCTCTGGTGGGGGAGACAATTAACCAGTAAACAAAGATCAGATATATCAGATATATATATCAGATATCAGATATATGATATATATATCAGATGTACTAAAGATACTTAGAAAGGAGAACACACTTGCTGGGCACAGTAGCTCATACCTGTAATCCCAGCACTTTGGGAGATTAAGGCAAGAGGACTGCCTGAGCCCACGGGTTCAAGACCAACCAGCCTGGGCAACTTGGCAAGACCTCTTCTCCACAATAAATCAAAAAAATTAGCTGAGTGTGGTGGCGCACTCCTGTAGTTTCAGCTGCTTGGAAGGTTGAGGGAGAAAGATCACCTGAGTCCAGTAGGTGGAGGCTGCAGTGGCCGTGAGTGTGCCACTGCACTCCACCCTGGGTGACAAGAGTGAGACCCCAACTCAAAAAAAAGAAAAAGAAAGGAGAACACAGCCGGGCTCGGTGGCTCAGCCTGTAATTCCATGCCTTTGGGAGGCTGAGGTGAGTGGATTGCCTGAGCCCGTGGGTTCAAGACCCGCCTGGACAGCGAGACCTCATCTCTACAATAATTTAAAAAATCAGCCGGGAGTGGTAGTGCGCGCCTGTAATTCCAGCTACTAGGAAGGTTGAGGCGGAAGGATCACCGGAGCCCAGCAGGTTGAGGCTGCGGTGGCCAGGAGCCGCCACTGCACTCCAGTCTGGGCGACAGAGTGAGACTCCAACTCAAAAAAAAGAAAGAAAGGAGAACACACTTAATGGTCAGCTGTAGGAACGCTGGCCACATATTATTCATACTATATTATCGATGAAACCACAAAGTTGTAGAAGTGACTTCATTTCCCAAAGCCCAATGCATTTATCTATTGTTGCATAATTAATTACCCCCAAAAGTAATGACTTAAAACCAACATTATCACCAATTTTGTGGGGGTTAGAAATTTGAGCATAGCTTAGCTGGGCGCCTCTGGCTTAAGGTCTCTAACCAGTCCGCCATCAGTCTATCAGCCAGGGCCTCAGTTTCATCTGAAGGCTGGACTGAAGGAGGACCTGCTTCCAAGGTCACTCAAGCAGCTGTTGCTTGTGGCAACTGGACTGAGGCTGTCCTCACTGGTTGTTGGCAGGGGGCTTTCCTCAGTTCCTTGCCACACACATCTTCCTTTTTTGTTGTTGTTAGAGTCTCACTCTGTCACCCAGGCTGGAATGCAGTGGCATGCTCATGGCCACTGCAGTCTCAACCTACTGGGATCAGACAATCCTTCCACCTCAGTCTTCCAAGTAGCTGGAACTACAGGTGCATGCTACCATGCCCAGCTAATTTTTTGATTTATTATAGAGATGAGATCTTGCCAAGTTGCCCAGGCTAATCTCATACCCCTGAGATCAGGCAATCTTCTCGGCTCTGCCTCCCAAAGTGCTGGGATTACAGGCGTGAGCCACAGTACCCAGTCACACACATCTTTCCAGGGAGTTCACAACAGGGCAGCGGCATTCCCAAAAGCAAGCAAGATGGAAGCCAGTCTTCATACTCTTATTTTGGAAGGAACATCCTACTATTTTCGCTGCATTCATTTGAAGTAGATCATCAGATCCAGTTCACACTCAAAGAAAGGAAATTTCCTAAGAGTGTTAATATGGGAGGGTGATGATGGTCAGGAGCCAATTGAGAGCCTCCTACCACATCCACACTTCACATATGACCCACAAGGCAGCCCCAGCAACCTCCCCAGCCCACCCCGTTATTCCTCTGTCCCTCTATATTGCAGTCACGCAAGCACGGCCACTAAGAAGCACAATTCGATTCGACACAACACAAACGGCAGTCCCTGGAGTTTTCCCATCTTCCTAGTCCTGTAACACTGAGCCCACTCCCACCCCACAACCCGTGAACTTCTTCCAGATTTTTTTTCTTTTAGAGACTGGGTCTCATTCTGCTGCCCAGGCTGGAGTGCAGTGGCACCATCTTAGCTTACTATAACCTCAACCTTCTGGGCTCAGGCATTCGCCCTGCCTTGGTCTCCCAATGTGCTGGGATTATGGGCAGGTGTCACCACTCCCAGCTTCTTCCAGATTCTCATACGGCATGCCACTCCAGGTCATTGAGGCTCAACCCAAGGATCACTTCAGCTTTGGACTTTGCTAACCACCCCCTGCAATGCCTCCCCCTCAATTTTCATTTTCCATATTACCAATGAGAAAACTGAGACTCAGAGTTCAGTCATTTGCCCAAGGTCAGAATGAGGTGGTGGGAGATTTGAAC